TCACATATTTTCTACTAAAAGATAGATATATTACTCTCAAAATATTAAAAAATAATAAGTAGTTTAGTTTTATAAAATTTATAGTGAATTACTTAACTAATCTAAATAACCTTAAGGGAAAGTATATGTTATTATACGATTTTCCATTCTTGAATTATTCCCTGTCTATTAATTACTACCTCCCTTATTCACAGCCATTTTTGACCAGATTTTGTACTAATATTATTTTCTATTTTATGGTACGTTGTGGTTTGCTTGTTTGGTATATAAACCTAATATATTTGAAATACATGATTCATATCGCAGAGGCTCGGATTGATGTTCTGTACTTAACTGGCTAGGCTAGGCAGGAAGCGAGACCAATCAGAGCTCTAGGCTGTTCGTACGGGTTTTACACGTCATTGATTCGATCGATAAGTCACTGCTCTCTAATCGGCGGTCATAAGTTATAACAGTATATGATTAAATAAACTTTAAGATGATGGAAATATATCTTTATCTACCTTATAGATAAATGAAGTATCAGGAAAAGGTCAATTAATGATTGTAAGATTTAAATGCATGTTAATATATATTAACAACTTTAAAGTTAAATATATTCAACCAAGTTATTTTCTTCATTGTAAAACTAATTCGAAGAATCGTAAATAGAGTTACCGTAATGCGGGTATCTATACACACACTTATTTGTTATGTTAAGTGTGATTTTTTCGTTGGAAAATTTTCATATCTAACAATTCACTTCTCTATGACTATCGTAACCAATGGTTGGAAACTCTGAGTGACATGGCTCAGAATCGATCACAATGGCGTCGGTGTACACACTCTTTGTTTTCCCTTAAACTATGAGATTAAAATCGCTTCATATCTTTATTTCTACGAACTAATTCTTTCTTCCTGTACTATATCTTTATATGCAATCTTTCTTTTATATATTACCACCACTGAATTAACTACTTCTATGAATTCGGTGTTCATCTTGTTGTGCTAATGAGGTATGGCAACTTGGACCGATGAGCATATGTGCCTGGTCCTAGGTTTTAGCTGACTGACAATTATAGTACCAAATTTTAAATGATAAAATAGTTTCAGGAGATTGATTATGAATACTGTGATCTTGAGTGCTGTTAGAAGTATGAGGGTAGTTATCACTTCCCGGTTGCCTACACCGTGGAAGGGTTTTTCTGGAGGTACCTGAAAAGGAAACTGGGTCAGATCTAGTCTTACTGACCTGAGAGTGTGATCGCAGTGCCCAAAGTACAACTGGCTTGAGGTTGGTCACACACGACCTTTTTGTGAGTAATTTTTGTGTTAGCTCCCTACTTATTGGGACCATATCGTCGGAAATGGATAAGGCAAGATGTGCATTTTTAGGGTCAACCTTTTCTAACCTCAATCCTCCTTGTGGGAAGACAGCATCGCTGTTATTATGCTGGTTGTCTGAAGGAAACACCTTACTGCTGTCACACCTCTGTACAGTCAACAGTACGAGTTCGCCTTCAGATCTTGGGCTTATGAATGCGTAATATACTTTTTGGCTGAATAGTTTATTGTATAGGTAAACATTTATTTTCTAAAATGATACTTAATAAGTTCAAATCTCATTGATTTCACTGATACTTGTTTAAAGTCAATTTCATTTAACTTTGATAAGATATGGCTCAGATAAACAATCAACGAATTTGTGGATTAATGCTATATTTTGATTTATCTGCCACTAGTGCATTTTTAACCTAATTTTATGTTAATCAGGATTGGACATTGCGGTAGACGATGGATAAGCATGTATAACACATGATCTAAACACCTCAGTCGATGAAAATTTATTAGCCATATTAATCAACTTCGCAGTTTTAGATAGTACCCTATGCCTGGCGTTGTCATTACTCATGTAATGGTTCTATGATATTTCAGTAGTGTTTCGAAGATACCTATGGACAAATAATTGCAGTTAATACGTGAATTCCACTTTCATATGTTATGATTTACAAAAATACAATGGTTTGCTGCATAAAAATATAATTGAACTTTGGCTAACAGAAAAATTTTCACCTACAACCCAGGTTTGCAAAAGACAGACAAAAATGTATGGACCCTTACCATCGACCTACAAGGGTTATTGAGATTTCCCATGATGAGTGAAGTAATCCATATGCTTGATTTCAAATAGTAAACAAGCATCATCTTAGAACAACACATAAGCGAACAATATTGCTCTCAATTAGATTTTTACCAGACTTCATTATAAAAAAACCTGGTAAAATAATAGTTCTGTGAAAGAGGATGGTGATGTCATTGAAGCACTGCTTGTGCACTTCGGGACCACTGAATAAGCCTCTGTGGCGCAATCGGTTAAAGCCCCCAAATGCCCTGATATGGCCGAAGGTAAGAGAGTTAGCTCTCACATGGCCACATGCATACAAACACTGACAGGAAAGTCTTACTCACTGACTTCTCGTGGCGGGGGTGTTGTTTACAAAAATGAGAGCACGAAAAGCAAATGTCTGGCGCTATAACCGGATCCCAAACCAATGGTGCACATGGGCTCCAGTATCCTGCGGGAACAAATGGCGTATGAACCAATCGTTGGTCACCGGCTACCATGGGACTGCATCTCCTCACGATGCTCCACTGCCTTGTGGATCAGATCTTCAGGTCAAAGGCTCGGGGTGTGGCCCCCTAAGAAAACCACCTGCTTCGGTTTGGGCACCCGGGCAGTATCACAGCCCTCACACATATCAAATGAAATATGTGTGGCGCATATGTATTTGGTGCCTTCTTGTACCGATATCTATGTGTTAAAATAAATAATAAATAAATGGCCACATGAATACAAACACTGACTGGAAAGTTTTACTCACTGACTTCTCGCAGCAGTACTGTTGTTTATGAAATTGAGAGGACGAAAGGCGCATATATATTCGATGCTCCTTTGTACTAATATTTATTTGTTCAAATAAATAAATAAAACAAAAGGCATGACAGATAGATTAATAAGGTAGCGAATTTCCATTGATTTAGAGGTTGGGACATCTGTTATGCACTCTCCAACCACTGACCACCCTGACGGGTGATATTGCCTGATGTAGGACTTTGGGACGACCAAGTTAAGACATAATACAAGTATATAAACACATTGATAATTGGACTAAGCCATGTCAACAGAAGTAGATTACCTGGTTGGGGTTTGTGCATATATCGTAACTAGTGTTAGCAAATTTAAGTGACATGGCTCAAAATTATTCGTAACAGCAGAGATGCACTTACATTTTGTCTTGTTTTAGAACCTCAATCCTGATATCTCTATAAATTCTTTTCATTGTTCATACCTAATCATTTCTTTAGCCACTGAAATTGTTTCTACTTCCACACAGATTGACCCTAATCAGGATATCATTTAAAACTAGGAAGTGCATTGAGAAGCCATTTTGTCCTATTACGGAACACGTGAGTAGTGTGTGTGCAACCACGACACCAAGGGTCAAACACAAGACCTTCAGGTCTCACGACAAACGCTTAGCCATTATAAACATTGAGTCGGCACCTAATGGTAGAATTCGAACTTTACCACTTGGTTACAAATACTACCGACAAATGAAACTAATCTCTAAAAAATCCCTCCAACTAAAATACAATACTCAGCTTATACTAGTGACCTACTTCAAAACATGATAACCGCTACACACATGCCCCCAAATGCCCTGGTACGGCCGAGAGTAAGGAGAGTCCGCTCTCCCTCTCGAAATGCTCTCACATGGTCATGCGTATATAGCCTCTGCCAGGGAAGTCCTACTCACTGCCTTCTCGCACCACTGGTGTTGTTTACGAAAATGAGAGCACGAAAAGCGAATGTCCGGCGCTTTAACCGGATCACAAACCAATGGTGCACATGGGCTAGCTCCAGTATCCTGAAGGAACAAATGGCGTATGAACCAATCGTTGGTCACCGGCTACCATGGGACTGCATCTCCTCACGATGCTCCACTGCCTTGTGGATCAGATCTTCAGGTCAAAGGCTCGGGGTGTGGCCCCCTAAGAAAACCACCTGCTTCGGTTTGGGCACCCGGGCAGTATCACAGCCCTCACACAAATCAATTGAGATTTGTGTGGCGCATATCTATTTGGTGCCTCCCTGTACCTATACTTATGTGTTAAAATAAAATAAATAAAATAACTTCAAAACATTCTTGAAGTCCTAATGAGTTGTGACTAGAGGATATCAGAAATGTCAGAAGGAAAACATATAAGATCGTGTGATTACCGCACTATTTTGAGAAATTGATTGAAGTTGGAACTGTACCATTGGATGGTGATCAAATGTTTCGAATGGTCAACAATTCACTGCAAGACCTAAAAGCCCTGCATTCAGTCTTTGAAGGAGTCATGGGTGCGCACTGTTAAGGAGTCCCACGCTGGAACAAAACACCTATCCGACGCTTCATTACTTACTTACGCCTGTTACTCCTCGTGGAGGAGCATAGGCCACCCACCAGTATTCTCGATCCAACCCTGTCCTGGGCAATCGTTTCCTGTTGTTATTCAACCTTCTCATATCTACTTCTATTTTTCGATGTAATGTGTTCTTTGGTCTCCCTCTTTTCCGTTTCACTTCAGGATTCCGGGTTAGGGCTTGCCTCGCGATGCAGTTTGATGATTCCCATAATATATGTCCTATCCATTTCCAACGTCATTTCTTAATTTCCTCTTCAGCTGGAAGCTGGCTTGTCCTCTCCCACAGAAGGCTGTTGCTGATGGTATCCGGCCAATGGATGTTTGGTATTTTGTGTAGACAACTATTTATAAATACTTGTACCTTTTTGCTAAACAAACGCTAACCAGATTAAACAACGCTTTATAGTTTTCAATAGTACAACGACTAATATTTGTCTGTGATGAAGACCATCGATAAATTAAACCAATCTTCACAAATTCCCCCCCCCTTAACTAAACAATTTTCTCCATTAAATTTTTCCAAAATAAACAAACTCCATGCTACTTACTCTAAACAGCTTTTAGGAGCAGAATGTTGTGTAGGTGGAATAGTAGACCAAGAGGATGACAAGTAATTATCAGATGATGCATAATCAGTATCATGAATAAAAGTATTTCGTTCATGTAAATGATGAGATGTATCAGGTGTTGTAGTTGTTGTTGTTGTAGTTTTTGAACCAATTGGATCATATAAAAATGGACAAACATTTGGATTTTGAGACTTTTGCGATAATTCTTCATCTAATTTAACCGGAATAGTTTCTTTAATTGGTACATTACTACTAGGTAGTAGTCTTTGAACAACTCGTTCATCATGAATATTTGATGCTGATGGATATACACTGGTATGAGAACTAGATACATTGGAGCCATGTATATCTTTACGATCGACCTGGAGAATAAAAGACAAAAATGAGAAATGTTATAAATAAATGACAAATTTACACAATATTATCGATTATGATCAATGTAGGACCTGGAACAAATGAGCATCGGTTTAGGTGGCCAGATGAACTTAACGTAATAACTAGTATTGAAAAAGAGTTGAAATAATGCTACTAGTACAAACGCTTGTCAAAACAACCAATCATAAAGAATATTGTTTGTAGAAATGATTAAAATAAAGTAAATCTGTTAGTAATTTTTGTTAATATCTGTAATTTTACTGAAGTCAATTTGTGCATTTTTCACCTGTGATTGCTAGAAACTTCTTTCGATTTGTAATGTTGGCTTCTTGAAGCAAATATATTTTCAATAGTTGAAATCATGAGTCAATTGAATCTAGACCAGCATGGAAAACCTGTTTGCTTATTGACTATAATTTACAAAACACTATTTGAAGAGTTTTGTGTAGATATTAGTAATTTCAAAAGTTGAAATCATGAGTCAATTGAAGCTAGACCATCATGGAAAACCTGGAAGCACTGAACGGCCGTTTTGTCCTGGTATGGGACTCTTCAGCAGTGCGCATCCACGATCTCACGCGCGAGCGCTTAACCACCAGACCACTGAGCCGGCACCCAATGGGGTGGTGGGATCGTGGATGCGCACTGATGAAGAGTCCCATACTAGGACGAAACGGCCGTCCGGTCATTCCAGGTTTTTCATGGTGATCAAGCTTTAATTGACTCATGACTTCAACTATTGAAAACACCATTTCCAAATATCTGTAAAAATTCGTAAGTAAATTTCGAACGATTATAAAAAAAAGAAATGGAATATCTTATGGTTGATAAAAAGACTGCCTTCTTAAAACTTAGCTTGAAATGCGATGGAATAGCTATTAGGATTGATTTTAGACTAAAGGCAATACTAAAAAATGTATTTAGAGAACCCGAATGCCCTGGTACGGCCGAGAGTAGCGAGAGTTCGCTCTCCCTCTCGAAATGCTCTCACATGGCCACGCGTATACAGCCTCTGCTAGGAAAGTCCTACTCACTGCCTTCTCGTGGCAAGGGTGTTGTTTACGAAGATGAGAGGAGGAAAAGCGAACCAATGGTGCACATGGGTTGACTCCAGTATCCTGTGTGTGTGTATATGTGTGGCGCATATGTATTTGGTGCCTCCTTGTACCAATATGTGTTAAAATAAATAATAATAAATAACTCTATATCAAACCAAATACTCATTGTAGTAATCAAATGTGAACAAATACCCGCCTTATGTTTGTCCCCATCTATGTTTATCAGTTTACATGTACGTGCCAAAGTACATACATCGAAAGAAAAGGAACGAGGGTTTGTATCTGAATCTATTAACATATTCCACAAAAGCTGAGACTAAACGGGCAGAAGGTTCTTAAATCAATTGCTCGATAATGGGCATGATGAAGTTGCGAAATCTTTAAAAATAATCAATAAACAAAGGGATTTAAAGCTGTCACGATTTGCCAAAGCAGTCGCAATAAAAATATTTAAACCAAATTTATGTATCCAGAAAGAAACAGTATATTTCACAGATAATCGTTTAAGTAGGTTAGATACCAAATTATGGAAATACTAACTACCAACAAGCGACATTATCGCATCTACTTAATGGTTTTTATTATTTATTTAAGTAAATAAAATTTGGTATGACAGGACATCAAAATATAGAATGCTATCCACATTTGTCAGCTGATATATTACCCGAAAGTCGAAACCAAAGCACATGGTTTTCTTAGGAGGCCATTCTCTGAGCCTTCCAAGTGACTAATATACAAGCTAGTAGAACAATGTCAAGAGATGCAGTCCCATGTTCATAAACTAATTGTATTTTTAAGATTCCGGAGCCTATGTAGACCATTGGTCTGGAATCAGTGCTTATAACTCAACTAGATGGGTCTTCAACACACACCAACCTGAACGTCAGCTTTTCGTCCTCTCATTTACGTAAACAACATTAATGACTCAGGAAAGCAGTGGGCAGGAATTCCCTGGCAGCAACTATGAAGGGCAAACTCTCTCCACCCGTAGTCGTACGCGGGTATTTGGGTGCCTTAAATAGTAGTCAGCTATTGGTCCTATAATGTTCACCCTCAATTGTCGTGTTTCAACAAGATGAAAGATCGAAAATAAAAAAACAGTGATGCGATGAAAAATAGCATGCTTACAAATTAGGTAACAGAGAAAAGTACACAAAATTAAGAACTATATGTAGGTCTACAGCTTTGCGAGCCACAAATGGTTAAATATGGAGGAAAGCAATCACTAAGTAGATAACTGGTGGTTACTGACTAAATAATCGCTTATTTTTTAAACCTAGATACTTAACAAAATACGAGTTCAGTTGCGGTCAATTACTATTAAACCATTTATCTATCTAATCTTCATCATAAGAAAAAACAGGAATACATAATTAATCTTAGAGTTTGAAATTTAGAGAAAATTTGCATTTGGTTAAGTTTTCACATTAGTATCAGTCAGTCAGCTACAATGTAGGACCAGGCACATATATATGCATTGGTCTAAGTTCCAACACCTTATTAGTACAACAAAATGACCACCAAATTCATAGTAGTTACTTCAATGGTAGTAATATATAAAGGATTCTGTATAAGAATATAATACAGGGAAAAAGAATTGGTTCGTAGAAAGAAAGGTATAAAGTAATTTTAATCTCACGGTTTAAGGGAAGACAAAGAGTGTATACACCTACGCCATTGCAATTAACCGCGAGACATGTCACTCAGAGTCTCTAACCATTGGTTACGATAGTCGCTCAGACCCGAACCAATTAGTCTTGGGACTTGGTGTTATACTCTCGCTATACCTAAGGTATTGACGTACAACGATTTAATGTCAGTCATTGAAGTAGATTTAGTCACAGACTAACATATTACTTTACCAGGAGTAATTACCTGATTACCAAAGGCAGACGGATCACTCGCTTTCATTAACAAGTGGAGTACTAGAAGCACCGTCTCCCGAAGTGAAGCATTGAAAAAGTTTGATCATGAGACGGTTTATAATTCTATCACTAGTAAAGAAAACTAAATATTCAATGTATTTTTGGCACACACGTGTTGAAGGAATAGTAGTTTATGTGTTTCCAACAACCACAAACACAACTTTTGCTGGCCTTTCAAAAATGTGCCGTATTTTGACAACTCAATCATTGAAGATCCCACAGGGGTATTGTAATGGTTATCATATGCGCCATGAATATATTTTGTGGGAGTGATCTAACCTGTTACTTATCCATGAAACGAAGTCATAAGTTAACATGAGGGTTTCTTGATTAAGTTATTTATTTATTTATTTATTTTAACACATAGATATTAGTACAAAGAGGCACCAAATACATATGCTTCACACGAATCTCAATTGATTTGTGTGAGTGCTGTGATACTGCTCGGGTGCCCAAACCAAAACAGGTGGTTTTCTTAGGGAGCCACACCCCGAGCCTTCGACCTGAAGATCTGATCCACAAGGCAGTGGAGCATCGTGAGGAGATGCAGTCCCATGGTAGCCGGTGACCAACGATTGGTTCATACGCCATTTGTTCCCGCAGGATACTGGAGTCAACCCATGTGCACCATTGGTTCGCTTTTCCTCCTCTCATCTTCGTAAACAACACCCTTGCCACGAGAAGGCAGTGAGTAGGACTTTCCTAGCAGAGGCTGTATACGCGTGGCCATGTGAGAGCATTTCGAGAGGGAGAGCGAACTCTCGCTACTCTCGGCCGTACCAGGGCTTTTGGGGGCGCTTGATTAAGTACGTTTGATGAGTCATTTTTATCGACATACAAACGTCTAGTAAATGTTTGTTGATCTATGACCCAAACGTATGGAGTTGGAAAAACCAATCGACATTATGGAAAAAGTTACAAACAATTCCGAACGTAGAAACGGAGCGACCATTCTGTTTTCAGAATTCTTTCTGATATTTTTAAATCAATCATTTATAGTTTATTTTCATTAAGCAATAATGCTTCAGAGCGAAACGTCACATGAAAAGCGAATATGGATAGACAAATGCGGTAATTAGTCGGTTGAGAGATGATTTTAAAAAACTGACGCTGTTGTGGACTCGCAAACTGTGTTTAAAATACTTAGTGGTATTCGAAGTATCCCGAGCTACTCGCATAAGTATCTGTACCGTTAAAAAATTTCTAGCTAACGAATGAGGTCGCGTAGTTGTTTTCTTACAAAAAGAAATTTCTCTGACGTTAAGCCTAAGATATATCAAACACACTATGAAGTCAAAACACTTACCTTTGAATTTTGAGATTTATAGTACCTCAAGCTAAAAGAAATGAACGGGCGGAAACACCAATACATAACCGCAAAAGTTAAAGCAAAAGCCAACATCTACAAACTATGGCACGAAGTAAACTCACCGGCATATCTTTTTGGAAGAACGGGGTTTCCTGATTAGAGTTATCTCCAGTCTTTAACGTCTGATAGTCAGCATTACTAATATTAGACAAGGAGTATGCTTTTAAGATTCCCGAGCGATTCGAGACACTTCCAGATAAATGATTATGGTCAAGTGATAATGGAAGGCCGTCGTAGGCATGTGCAATCTGAATGTAAAACCGTAATGCCAAATGGTGAAACAACATACCTTGCAGATCTCCTGAGCGTCTCTCATAGCAGCAGCAAAGTTTGCCGTAGACGCCGCTTCTTTCATCTTCAGAAGTTCTATTTTCTCTTTGAAATTTCGTGGATTAGAGTACCCAATATGTTTAGTCGTCATTTCAGCCTTTTAGCATTTGCTAACAAAAATAAACTTTTAAGATGAATCACACAAAGATCGGTAATAAAATTTAAATATAATACAGTCTTGAAAATTTTTTTTGAAATCTTGACTGACACGTTTTATTCATATACAGAATTTTTAATTGATAGCGTAAAAACTTGATAACATCTATTTAAGATCCACAAACTCTTACAGCAAGATATATTTTGCACTATGCAGTGCATTTAGTTTCAGATATATTACGGAAATAAAGAAGTGTTTTAGTAATTCCCGAGGAACAACACAAATGCCATCACAAAACCGCCTCAAAGACCGCCTTAGTTAACCTAGAGATTTAAAACTTCAATGTTCAGACATTATGCGTTTAGTTTCTCTGTCATGAAGGCAGAGAGAAGAAAGTTCGTTGAAGTTTGTGTATAAATCTCCAAAGATCATTATCAGATGCAGATAGCTTCAGTTTCATGTTGTGACCCAATTTACACTCTGAAACCTCTTCTGGACGAAGGAATAGACCAAAATACAAAGTCACAAAATTGACTACTCACTGTGGACTTTGGTCAAGACGGCGTATCAAAGGCACTTAGACACGGAAAAATCAACAGGATCGAATGAACTACACCATGTATTGCTTCCCATTGATTACGATACTCAATATATCACTTGGCCAAGATGAGTTACCTACGGAGTAGAAGGATGCATCAAACTATAGATCTGTCAGCTTCAACAGTGTTGTGGCTAAAAAATTGGAAATAATAATCAAAAAACCAACAACTTTTTAAACACCGGACAATATTATTTCAAAAACAGATTATCTTGCACAACAAATATTCTTATAGCGAGGGAGCAATGGATAGAGGCCCTAGACAACGGAAAATCAGTGGGTAATGTTTACGTAGACCCCACCTGGAAACCATTACCTATTGAAGTACCTCAAAGCTCCGCCCTAGGTTCTTTACTTTTTACACTGTATGTAAATAAACTGCCATGCATAGTTGAGTCCCCTCTGTCACTATATGACGTAAAGCTTTGGCTATAAATATCACGAAACACAGATGTATGTGCACTCCAGGCGGATCTATATGTCCTGATTAGCTTGCCTTAAAATGACTGATGCCTATCAACGCAGCCGAGTGTATCTATGTGCACATTGAGGACACAAAGGTAAGTAGGCACAGCATTAGAAAAAAGTTTGTGCCCGCAGTCTGGTCTAACAAGGATCTTGTGGTGACAATGTACCATGATATTAAGACCGCGGCCCACTGCCGTGAGGTTGCAGCTAAAGGGTTTAGATCCCTATGGGCATTTACGGACATTTACCAAGTTAGATACTAGACCGGCCACTACAGTATACACAACCTTAGTCAGATACAAACTTAAAAATTACTTTCAGGCTGCGAGCCTCTGTTTATAAGGTGACGCGAGTATCTTTGAAGAAGCTACCTGTGCATATCCAGAGCTTTGGGATTTACCATACAAAGAGCAGCTTGAGAAGCTAGACCTTTTTACTATGTTCTATCACAGATTAAGACTTGATCTGATTTTGATGTACAAAAACTAAGAAATGATTTTAGGCCTAATATATTCTCTTTTTTTTCTCTTACCAGATCAGGATAACTCAAAGGACATGCCATTCGAGTACAGAAGCTAAGAACGAATAAAATCCTCATGACATACAGGTCTCCACATCAAGTCTTAAATTCTTGGAACCTGTTAACTGAATAAATAATGCCCTTCCCTTCAACTGACTCATTCAAGAGAAAAATAGACGCTCTCAGTTTACTAGAAAAGGGCTAACATAGGCCGTATGCCTTCAATCCGCAGTTTACAAATCTTGATCTAAATTAAGACAAAAAATTAAAACCTGAAGGATATGGAAATATTATACTAAAGCTGGAAAATTCTTAAACTCATTAAAGAATAGCATCAGAAGGGGTTTTGGGGAGATTTTAGTAATTTCAATAGTTGAAACCATGAGTCAATTGAAGCTAGACTACCATGGAAAACCCGGAAACACTGGACGCCCGTTTCTTCCTATTGTGGGACTCTTCATCAGTGAGCATCCACGACTTCATTTCGTGAGATTTGAACCCAGGACGTATCGGTCTCGCGCTCGAGCACTTAACCACTAGACCACTCAGCTGGCCGGCATCCAACGGTGTTTATGTCTAACTTCAACTAATCCATGATATTGAGCGACACATCCACCGTTGTCATCAGTGAGTTACTATCTTACAACTGACCCGGCTGAACTCCACAGGTCCTTGTTTCTCACTAGAACTCTAGGATATACCTCTTGAAACTAGTCACTAGGGAGCATATGTTGATTACCGTCAGAAGGGGTTTTGTAGAGATTTTAGCAATTTCAGTTGTTGACATTATGTGTCAATAGAAGCTAGATCACCATTAAAACATTCAGGGGCACCACAATAGGACGAAACGACCGCTCAGTACTTCCAGGTTTTCCATAGTGGCCTAGTTTCAATTGACTCATAAGCTCAACAATTAAAATTATTCAGGAATCACAAATTGAGTTAATGACTTTCTGATTGTTAGGAGGAAACGAGGATGGGTAAACGGGGTTTTATCAGCATGGGAATCTGTGAAGAGTAGAATTCCATATGGTCTGATACTCGGTCCCCTTTTTCTCAGCATTATGGAAATGATTTACTAACCGTAGCGAAATTCTATATTTTATTCTTTGCTGGTGGCATTACGGTTTTGAAACCTATATACTCAGTTTCTGATAGGATAATGTTTCAGGTAGACTTAAATTCACTAGTTGAGTTGATGAGTAAGTGTTGAGTAAAAATTATTTCTAGCAGAAATTTGGTGATGAGGAAACGCAACATTATATGTAAAATATGAGCGAAATTTTATTACCTTAAGTAATGAATTTTAAAAATCCAGCAGTCATAATTAGCAGAAACCTTGAAACTATGACTAACAGTAAGGTTGTTACTGCTACAGCCATCATAGTCTTGTAAGCAAGTTGTCTCCTCATTCAGAAGAAGAAATTTTCATAGTATCATGCGCGAAATTTGTGAGTCGCATTTGGGATGTAGGATTCAAACAGCGAGTTCTTATTTCACGTTTGAAGCGTATACGCTGGAATAAGTCCAGCGACGAGGAATCAAAACGTTAAACAACTTCACAGATTGAGACACCTCAACCCATTCTCGTTATCTTACTGCAGGTTGCGATGCGACTAACTACTGGTTTTCTGTATTCCAAATGGCAATTTTGGTTATCTTTTCCTTCCATCCATGATTGGCTATCTGTGAACATGTAATATCAGTACGTTTTGTTTATACATTTAAAGTGAGATTGGATTTCAGTGGTGTCACATGTTGTAAAGAGTAATATGGATCAAGTGACTGCCTATCCTCTTAGGTAGTTACAGGAGGATTACAAATCATATGCGATGTGAGATAACATTACTGACTAGTATACTTCATAAACTCTTAATACTGACTTTCTAGCCGGCTTCCATGTCCTCAACTGCTTCTCTACGTCACCTAGAAAAACGGAGAGTCGGTGTGAATTGTAAGTAAAAGCTTTACTTCAAAGTTAGTATAAGCTCAGAAGAACAACTGTTTACAGAATCATTTATAAACTTAGATTACCATAGGTTTTCGGAACCACACCGAACACTGTGACATTATTGGTAAATATCTAGTCAGAATATGTTTATTCTTTCATTTTTTAGATGTTTCTACAAGTTTCTTATTAGGTTTTGCTTGGCTAACACTGATTGGAGTTTTCTGAACATCTAATAGCTTAGATGAGAGATATTTTGGCATTCTTCAACAATTATAAGTTCAAGCTCATCACGTACAATTGAGTACAGAAGAGGTACACAATAGTTGCATAAATAAGGCGAATGACCAAATAACAAGTTTGATCTATAGTTAGTAACTCTATGAGCGATATATCGTGTTTCAAGTGGTCTTTCCGAAACCTTCTCGAAACCATATTTACAGGTACGTTAAGGCTGGTTATTGTCTCATCAATGGAGATTTCAACGCGCTATACATCAGTAAGTCAGAGATCACAAAATAAAACGAATATTTACTGAGAATTCACTGTTTACTAGTCCTCAGTGCTCACATACATCACGTATAACGAAACCGACACATTTTGATGTAGAAAATAAACCATTATTGTTGAACATGGTCCTCCTTAATCACTCAGGTGATGTTATAAACATTCACTTCCCAAAAATAATCATGTTGATGAACTCTGTATTACAAACACTTGATAAGCAACAGGAATCTTCTCAATCTAGTTTCAACACCATGTGGGAAGACATTTGGGTGATCAGAGATTTGTTCAAATAACTTTTGGAATTATGGTCTAGTCCGGTGTTAGTGTGGTGTATGCTAATTATATCGACAGATATAAGTAGTGTATGTACGTACGTTCAAACACGTCTCGTGAACGATTGATATTTAGGCAGATTGTAGGTTCTCTTCCGAGGGTAGAGTATCTCGTCTCTGCTGAAGACAGTTTTTTGGGAAGAAAACAATCAGTTTCCAGGAACTGTCAATCAGTTGGTTACGAATGTCACCTACTGCTTTGTCTGAAGTATCCACCATTAAGGCGAGAGAGGAATGGGAGGACGGAAACGTTAACGAAAATCTTCGGACTAGTTTTTCTTTTAGCTTTTAAGTAGCCTTTACAATCTCAGAATTCAGCTTAGAATCTTTCAGTTTTCCTTTAGGGAAATCTGTCAGTGGCGCATTATTTTTGCACAACCTGGTATTGATGTACGACAAAAGGTTACTAATCCTAGACAACTTAAGTTGTGTTGGAGAACTTGGTGTAGGTACTGCCCAATGGTGTCTGCCTCCTATCTGATCGGTGTAATCTCTCTGTGATTATTTTGAGGCCTAGAAATTCAAAAGTATGAACTCCGAAATTACTGATGAATATTCATCTAATTTTAATCTTACTGTTTTAATACTTCTCTCAAGTTTTGTACATGTGGTTTTGGATCC